GGATTGCTCCATGCTCTGTGTTGAGATGATTAGAGTTAGGGTTGTCCGTATTTCCTATGGAATATGAAAATATAAAAAAAAACGTATTATTTTTGTTAACAAGAAAATAATTCAATGTGGAAGACTCCTATCAGCTTCACCTTTACCACCTGCAATATCCCTAGCTTAAGCTTAAGCCACTCAATGCCTGGACTGCACCTCCTCCAAAGCCAATCATCTTTCAAGATCCCCTTAATCTAGCACTTGGCCTAGCCTTCGTCTAGCACATTAGTGACATCAGTTGTCATGCACTTTGTTTAGGCTTTTTTTAATCTGATGTGCACTCTCAGTTCCTCGTTTGTGAGCATCCAGCTTGCAATGATCCCCTGGCTTTGGTTCGTACCCACCCCAACAGGCCCACCCAGGTCTTCTCTCAAGCCCACTTTTAGTCCCACATGCACCTGATTCAGCTGGCATTCCATTCTTTGTGACACCTGAGGATTTGTCCAATGCTCACCAGCAACTATCCATTTCCTTTCCCCCTTAACCACTCAACCCGTCACAAGTCTTTACTCACCAGCAGGGGTTATGGCTCTGCCACACCTTCGCTCCTTTCGCCTTCTGCACAAGCCGCTGTATCTTTCAAAGTCTTACACATTGTCCCCATTCCTTGCTTCAACCCTTTCTTCTCTGTCAGGAACAGCATAAATGATCATGTAAGTGCATTTTCAGCCTATGGCTTCACAGCGTTAATTAATTCCTCTGATCCTGCTTTCCAGGGCTAAAAAAAGTGATCTAATTGGTTTCAGATCATAGCTTGTGCTGTTGAAGGTTCTCAGTCATCCAGGTCATAGTCATTCCAAAAAAGGCCAAAAAACAACCCACTGGACCTTGTTTTTCAAGTTTGAAGATGTTTCACTTCCAATCCAGGAAGCTTTTTTCAATTGTAAATGTTTGAAATAAGTGTAGCCCAGTGAACCAGAAGAACAGGCCTGCCCCTTGATAATGGGGATTTGTTGAGTTCTTTGTAAGGCTGAGGTACCCAATACTGCTCTATGCCTCTGAGAAGGCATTGTTGGCCTGGCTGACCAGGCGAGATGTCTTAGTTCCCTAGCTGTTTTTTAAACTTCTTTGGAACTAATCATAGTTTGTTAAAAAAAATGCATTTGTGCATTGAGTCACGTAAAGTGAGTCAAAAATCAACACACAAATGCAGCAAGTTCAAAAACCACTGCTAGTTTATAAATCAAGATATAATTATGTACACATCACAAATACTTTAGTGAATCTTGTCTTGTGAATACATAAATTTTATGTGCCTGAATCATTATGCACATATGTGGATCTTATCATGTGTCTGAGTGGATCTTGTCCTGTGCATGTGTGGATCTTATCCCGTGCATGGGTGGATCTTATCCTGTGCATGTTTGAGGAAAATACCAACTAAAATGGTCAAAATTAAACAAACGGCTTAGTGATGCAGAACTAATGTGCAGATGTTCATCAAACAGGTAAACATTTTGTACACACACATACACCTACCAAAGAATTAAACTGCAATCTTGTTTGAGCTTGTTTTTATGTAGCAAGTGCAGTTTTGTGTTTGGACACAAATAGGCATACCTTAACATTAGTAATCAATCAAGTGAGCTTAGTGATGAGTTTCCAAAGAATTTAAACAGAGCCTGTGTGGTTTAATGAATTCAGATAGGAGATATCAGAGTTAGACAAATTCAGTCTACTATCTCTGCCACCAAGCATTTTCTCCAGGTCTGACAGCCTGAAAGAATAAATATAGGAAAATATATAACACTGTCATGATTTTGGGACTGATGCCTAGTCTGATTACTCATTTCACACACCTGCTTAGCTCCACCAAGTTCACATTACCATACAAATCTGATCCACCTGCATCAGTCACCATATAACCAGCCTTTAGACCAGTCATCATTGCCAGATTATTTTGAGCCATTGATTTTGAGCCATTGATGATGTTGGTGAGACTTATTCTAGCCTCTGAGCCTGATGTAAAAGTTCTGAGGGTCCAAAATCAAATTTCAACAGTGAGGATATGAAAACAAATACACTGGAAAATGTATGGGAATACTATTTACTATTTGGATAAGCTGAAGATCACTATTAAAGCAACCTGGACTTATTTAGCCCCTTAACTGAGCCACAGATTAATCAAATCAATAACCCCCCACAGTGATGCATTAATTCAAGAAAAGATAACTGACACACCTTTTTTTAAACATTTTAATTTTATCTGTCCTTTTCACCATTCTAAATTTCTGAGAAACTAAACCTTGTCACATAAAAGCAAAAACATTGGTTATGAAAACAATTCACTGAGTAATACCTCAGTGAATTTTAATACCTGTCAATAACAAATATATTTCTTAAAATGACCCGTGCATCACTTACTGCCATATGAACACAGATGTAAGTAAAGATCAGTTATCCACATAATGCAAGATTGTTCTAGAAGAAACCCTTATGCCAATGAGACAGGTAAGTTGATACAGATGGCCTCATCCCAGTCCCATCCTCCAGCCTCTCTTCCCTGTCTGTGAATCTCACCAGAAGAGGAGTTTTAACAGCTTGCTTTCAGTGGAACATGTAGGTGAAGAAGAAACTCTACAGAGCTGTTCTAATTTTACAAGCACTGCAAAAAAACTTACAGTAATGGCTAAGACACTTCATTAATTCAGAATCTAAAATCATATTGCATAACAAATAATGTGAACCAATATTACAATGGTTAAAGATAGAGATGCAACTGCAATGGCTGTTAATATGTTCATAGTTTGGCAACAAATACATAGTAATAACAGGATCATTTGAATTTTTCGGTCCTCCTTGGGTCAAGGCTATCGCTTGGTCATTACTTTTTCATGAGGGTGGTATTCTCAAGGTGCTTCTGCATTTGTCTTTCATTTCTCCCGCAGTATAAAGCACAAGATATTGTTCCTGTCCTTTTAAATCAGATGGAAAAATTGTTTTAAATCACAATTCACTGTTAATACACATTTATTTTCAGTATATATGAATTTGCTCACTTTCTATGTGACAGGGAACAAAAAATAAATCCCAGTTTGTTCTAAAATTAAGGGAATAAAATCTACAAAATGTCTTGGGGATCTACAATAAAAGTAGTCCTAAAAAAGGTCTTTGGTTCGACTTTATGTGGCTAAAGGCAGCAGGTGCAATATGAGGAGAGAGGTGTGTCACCAGGACACCGTGGTGTAGACTTACTTTCTCGTTGGGTACATGTGTGACATGAGGTCATTGAAAAGGCTGCATATTCATTACTTCAGATGGATTTGCATTAATAATTAAATGGTAAAAAGGTTTAAGATTATGGCTTGCCTTTGTCTAAAAAATAAAATGGTTTAATAAAAAAACACGCACCAAAGAAATGCTACAAATCTATAATAACTTTATAGTATGGATTACAGCCCAGTTAATTTAATTGACTGCTGCTATAATATGCTATATAATAAATGCTGTTTTCCCTTATTTTTAGTTCATCTTTTGTCTCGCCAAGCAAAAAAATATTCCCTCTAAAGTCTTTTGCATCAGTAGGACTTTTTTTGTTAGTTGTTAACAAGACTGGCTTTTTATCTGCCTTTGTTTTGCAGTGGTTTTCAGCTGCATTGTATGCATTCTCTTTAACCAATTGCTAAATAATATCTGTCCAAGTTTACATCCATTATCGACAATAACCTTCACCCCTTGCACCAGACTGTAGAGGAGCTTAGCAGCTGTAAAATAACTTTACACCCTGTTTATAAAAAGGAGCGCTACCACAGGTCATTCATCCCTGCTTCCACCAGACTCTACAATGCAACACTACAAAGGGTATAACTTGTGCAATGTATAATGTGCAATTAATACCCTGTGCATTTACCTGTGTCTTTATATTTGATACCCAGTGGAATAGCTATATAGATAAATACCCATCTATATAAATATGCTGTGCAATAACCCCGTATAATAAGACTGCCTTTAAAAAAGACCTTAGCTGCCTCATTCATATATATATATATATATATATATATATATATATATATATATATATATATATATATATATATATATATATATATATATATATATATATATATATATATATATATATATATATATATATATATATATATATATATATATATATATATATATATATATATATATATATATATATATATATATATATATATGAATGAGGCAGCTAAAGTCTTTTCTTTCTTTGCTACCTTCTTCTTTTTGACTATTTGAGCCCATGTAACAAGTACATTTCTCCACTGTGAGATAAATACAATCAATCAATCAATAATGACCACTTACCCTGATAGAAGCAAGTGAAATCTGTGGCTCTTTTTGGATGTTGTTAGTTATATTCATACCTGATGTTTACGATAGAGTGGCAAAAAGAATGCTATACATGGGTTATCCTGTTTTCAGTTTAGCAGAAGCTGCACAGGATTACTGCTTTGTGTGCCATCAGGTGCCGCAGAAGCATTTCATTCACCCATCAAGTTGAGTAATGACTAGGGTAGCATGGAGACACCTAAGGCATGCAGAGAAGGAGTATGAACCATTGATATAATGGACACAATACACATGTGGAAGAACTTGTTCTGGTTACATGGACCCAAATTCAACTTTATGGCATAGGCCTACCAGCAAAAAGCTGAGAGGATAAAAAGCTACACTGAATTTATAATCCACAATAAAACATGTTGTTCACATCATCCTGTTGTGAAAAACTTACTATTCCAAGTTACTAATAGGTGGTTGGTGTAACTTAATAGAGGGCACTTTCAACTCCCACAGTTCTACACAAAAAGCTCCATTAAACCGAATATTTGCAATAAATTTGGACTGCATGCTTCTGTTGATGATCAATGACAAGCAGGTAGCTGTGGACATCTACCACAGCGCATATCCGACTCATACAGGAGAGAAAGAGGTGTATGAGGAAGAGGCGGAGTGCTCGCTCTCTGATCAAAGATCTCTTCGGCTGTTCAGCATCGCCGTGACGATAAACAGTGAGCGGACAAAGATGCTCTGTAGTCTGGTGCGCACGCCTCTGTCTCCAGCTCTCCACCTTCACCATGGAGGAGCCTAATTAAATGCACACACTCGATGTGCGCGTCTCTGCTGCTCCGGATGGGGGGTGCCGATTCTTTTTTTATTATTATTATTTCTATTTTAGGATTTTCAAGCGTTTCCAACCCTGTTTGAACCCCGAGCGGAGAGGACCGCGGGAGATTTGTGAAGTCTTCAATTAATAAGGTACTGCTGAAGTTAGCCTCTTTAGCATGTCTGCGTTCATTATGTTGGTTATAATTAGAGGACAGTTTCATCGTTCATGATCCAGAGGTTTATCAGGAATTCATGCGCCTGCAGCCGCACTGATACACTAATCGGGCTCGTTGCATCAAGGTTGCCAGCTGTTTTTTGGAGACCATCTGACGGATGCGTTGCTCCGTTTTTTTTTTTTTTTTTGTCATTATGGGCGCCCTGAAGTCCGCCTATTATTTCCTATCGGCTTTTAAACTAGGGGGTTTATCTATGCCATGTCTTACCTTGGTGTAAGGTCCAAGGAGAGTCATAAGGACGCTCTGTGATGTGTTAGTTTGTCACGAATCGCTCATGGAAATGTCAGAGCTCATTTCCATCATCTCTGTGCAGCATTGGAATAAAAACCCTCGTTAAACAAACAGAAAGATAAAACGCATTTTCACTCCGGTGTCTGGACGCGGCTGCGTGTGCAGAAAACGCAGATCTAAGTGCTTTATGTTGCAGCCATGCTCTGCAGCTGTCCGACAGTCATATCGCATTTATTTTTTATTTTTTTGGCAATAAGAAGATTAATTCTTCTCGGAGCATCTCTGCAATGTGACCTTTTCGGTTTCTTCCTCTGCGGGGCCTGCTCGCAGTTCAAGGACTTATACAACTGATGGCACCGAGTGATGCCTGAGAGTGGCAGCTTTCAGTTTTTACACGCTTTGTTTATTTGTTTGTGTTGTCACTGCATTAAAGCAACTTCAGCTCTTTTTTTTCTCCCCCACAACCACGGCCAGGCTCAGAGAGAGAAGCCAAAACCAATCTGCCATATTGGTTGTAGTTCTGAGGGATGTATCCTCTGTTTGTCCGCTTAAATGACAGAAGATAAAACTGATGTATTTCACATTAAGGTTCAATTATGCAATCATTCCCAGCTGCAGTATTTGTGGAAACACAGGTTCTTGTTTTTTTATCTTTTCATTCGTCCTCATAGTTTGACTCTGCAATATATGACCTTATTTTTATTTGCTTTGACATTTGTATCTAATTTTATATAAGCATCATCAGATATTTTCTTTGTAGGAGAGCCAATATGGTGTGGTAATATGTGAACCTGCTTTTGTCTTCAGGCCAATTTGGACCATAATGACCTGTTGAGTAGACTTTCAGCTCAGCTAGAACATTTAATACTGTATGTACATTTAATTGTTTGGAAGTACTCCCCCATCCAAAAAAGCATGCACTAACCAGACATAATTTACTGAACCATGTGGTAACCTTACTGCCTTCTTGATTGTGATGCATGAAGCAACATAAACAGTATCCTATGCAATACGCATACTGGCCCCTTTTCATAAGTACCAGGACAAACCTCTTAAGCAGTTTGGGTACAGTAGCAGTTGCTACATTGACCAGATTTAAATTCCATTATGCATCAATCAGCTTGGTGCAAGTTTAGCCCATTTCTTCATTGGAAGAAATGGGGATAAACAGGAAGGAATTGACCAGGAAACCTGATCAAGAGCTGCTAGGTCGGAGATATTCTGACCTTGTGGTTCATCTGTCACATACCTCCTCAAATCCTTTCAGTTGAACGATTTCTCCTACTTCCCACCCCCACATACCGGTGAAGAGATTTGTCTCCTGATAGTGAGGTGACCTTGGGTGGAACCTGAGCTTTTAACAGATTTTTAACCAGTTTTTGTTGTACATCAGAAAATTATGTTTGATAGATGAATATGTTTTTGGGTGTCTAGGTGTGAAATGAATGTACAATATTTGTGTGTTTCGAAGAAAATTAACACAAACCAAGGGCAACATTTTCTTCCATTATAAAAATGTAAAAACATTATTTCAACCTGAAAGGTGAACAGCCGTCAACTGAAGCACACGCTGTTCTGATAGTCTGGCACACTCAGAGAGCCCTTTCTTCTGCCTCCAATCAAACAATCAAACCTACAATAGGTTAAGCAAAGTATTTTAGACTTTAAAGATTTGAGATTTATTAAATATCCCTTAAATTTAGCACTTAATCTTAGTATTAGTTTGGATTAAATTACAGAGATAATAGTTTCAAAATAATTGATTTTTAGTCAACTTTGGTCCAAATAGTGACAATTGAAATCAAATTCAGTTCATTCTGAAATATTTTAATTGATCTCCAAAGGGAGAAAAAATTTGTTGCAACTCAAAGTTTTTTTTTTGAGACCATTGAAGCACATCTGAAGAAGCCTTTGACTGAAGACACTATGTTGTAGTTTTGCAGTTTACTGAAGAGGATAATCACTGTTGTGTAATGTTTTTCATTTTATAAAGAATTTTTATTTGTGAGATCATCTCTACAGGTTCTAGTGGAGCTTCTAGAACAGAGCCCTCTTTATCAACATGTTGAGCTTTTTTTTTTAGTCATTTGCTCTGATGCTGTTGCCCCAGCAGATGATGGTAGAAGAGATCACAATCTCTACATCAGACTGATAGAAGATATGTAACATCTTGCTGCAAACACTGAAGGACGTACAGTAAGCTTCCTTAAGAAGAACTGTTTCTTCTGCCCCTTTTTTATATGACTTTACAATAGCGTCTCCAATTTGATCTATTGTTCAGGTGAACTTGGAGGTATTTATATTTAGTGTTGCGCCGATGCCATTTTTTGGCCCCGATACCGATACCCAATACCTGGCTGTGCAGTATCGGCCGATACCGATACCATAATAATGTAAAATAATTGCAATCATGGCTTTGTCAAGCTGCTGCCTACCTTTGTGAAGCAGGAAAAAATCTAATATGAAGTGAATCCAGTAGAACTTTTTATTGCCTACCTCGAATGGGTGACAATAGTTGAATAAACTTATGGCTCTCAAAATGGTATCGGTGCCCTATTTGTTGGTACTCGCCGATACCGATACCACCATGTCAGGGCAGTATCGGGGCCCCGTCCGATACTGGTATCGGTATCGGTGCAACACTATTTATATTTATATATATATATATATATATATATATATATATATATATATATATATATATATATATATATATATATATATATATATATATATATATATATATATATATATATATATATATATTTCCATGAATAACCGGTGTTTGGAGGCTTCTTTGCATCCAAATAATGGTCAGACAATCAGAGGTGTTCATTTTATAACAGAAAGTACTTGAATATATGTTATTTGATCTTAATTCAGGCCATGTGGAATAAGATCTACCGTAACTTATGAGATTATTAAATATTGATCGAATCTGGATGGAATAACAATCAAAGAAACAAAGCTGAATTTATTGACTAAACCCTAAAAATTGATTGATTGGAAAAACAACCAATATAATTAGTTAAACACATTTAGGTTAGACTAACTAATATATTCACCAAGCCATAAACCAATTTTATTGTTTGTTCACTGGAAAAAAAATCTTTATCATATTTAGTTACTTTAACACAATTGTTTTATGTTCTACCCTGCTAACATGAAACGATTCTGTTAAAGTAACAAAACATGATTAACTAAATGCAAAAAAACAGTTGCATTTTTTTCAGTGGTCAAACAACCAATGAAAATGGTAAACGGTGGTTTACTGCGCTGACTGTTTTGCTGTCGTCAAGTGTAGTATGTAATAGTTATGGAGCTAGAGAAAAATTAAAACGATGTGTACGTGTGCAACATATACATTTTGCTGTTAAGTTTTTAAGACTACTATTAAATTCCAAAAAGTGTAAGCAGTGACAGTGGCATCGGGTGCAGAAATTTGTCTAGTAACTGAGGAGTTGATAGTTCAGGACCTGACTCTAATGTTACACTAATTAATGAATCAATATTTTCCTCAAATTCACCAATTTGTAGTGTTTTTTTTTCTTTTAACCAATATAGTTTGGTTACAAATGCTACCAAATTGGATTGGTTGTTTTAACTTAAAGATTGGTTGGAGTCATAACTACCAACCAGATTGGTAAAATTCAGCCAATATTTTGTTCGTATTGACCAATCTGTATTTAGAGTGTGTGTTCAACTTCCTCAATGCTTGTGTAATTATTATTTAAGGCCAGAAATGTAATAATACATATTATTATTCAAACTTTTGTCATTCTTTTCTGATCAAGAATAAATTTATTTTTGGTTTCTTTAATGTTTTTAATATTATAATGCTAATACAAAAAGAGAGGTGAATTGACTGACATATTAACAAATATCCTGAAAAACTTGTTTAGTGTAAAAGAATAGTTGAAATGACAGTCAAGATTGAGTACTACTTCGATATGATTCAAGAGAAAGAGGCAGCCAGGTAACTTGATGCGTTTAATCAAATAGTCATCAGAAGGTGAAAAAGGAGGAGTTAGCAGGTTAGAAGCTTACAGGTGTGCATAAACATTTGGCCTAAACAATTTAGAGACCATCATTCAGCAGTGAGCAGGAGTAGATGTCCCTGAACCACAATGGTAGTGATTAGAGAAGCTACAAAAAAACAACAACAAAATAAAACAGCTCCACCCCAGAATCTACAGGCCTCCGTTAGTCTGTTAAATGTCAGTGCAAGTAAAAAAGACTGAACAAGTGTGACTTGTTTGAAAGAGCTGGCAGAAGAGAGCCTCTTCCTCTGAGGATAATATGGCGGCACAGCTTGAGTTTCCAAAGCATCTTGAAGCAGTAGAGCACAGAAACAATGTATTTTAGACAGAGAGGACTAAAATAGAGATGTTCTGTTATAAGACACTGTGCCATATTTGGAGAGAATCAGTCACAGATACAAGCATTAAATCTTCATAACAAATGTCATACTCAGTATTGGAAGGCTTATAAGTTTGGCATTTTTTGTGCAGATGCAGGATCTTGACACCTTGCAGTTTTTTAGTCACCTGTCAATCTGTACTAAAGTATTCTAACCCTGAAATTGAGGCCATGTGCTTAAAGGCTGAAGCTTGGCTTTATCTTTTCAAGCAACAACACAATGACTACAACCAAATCAGCAGATCTGGAGAATAACTACAAAGAATTTAAAATGTTTAAATTGCTGAGTAAATTTGACTGAAATTATTAGGCAGGATCTTAAGAGTGTTGTGCATAAAGAATTAAAGAAAAAAGACCACTTAATAATTTCCGCTAAAGGGGCTCTACAAACATTTCTGTATGTTATATACTTTTGACTGGATCACACAATTTTAAGCAAAAAGGATTTTTCTTTATATTTATAGTTTAAAACAACAAAATTTTTTTCTAACCAAATTTTTAAATTTTTTTTCAGAGGCAAATTATGCCAGCAGCATCAGAGTCACTCACCCTGGTGACGTGCCACTTGGTTGGTCAGACTGCTCTGCCTTTCACTTGCCTCCTCGTCTGCCCTGGCAGATCAACGCTTCTGGATGCTCCTCAAAGAGCCACGCCCACACCATGAGCGCCAACGGGCCTGCCACAGAACCAGCCCCAGAAGCCCCTCCCATCTCAACCCCTGCCCCCGCACCGGCCCCTGCTCCTACCCCAGCCCCAGCGCCACCACCGCCCGCCCCCACCTGCTGCAACTTCTTCTACCATACCGGTGGGTGCGTTGGCTCAGAAGAAGCGGCAGCAGTATGCCAAAAGCAAGAAGCAAGGGAGCAACGCCAACAGCCGGCCACCGAGGGCTCTTTTCTGCCTAAAGCTCAACAACCCCTTACGCAGGGCCTGCATCAGTGTGGTGGAGTGGAAGTATCCTTTACTATGGCCATGTGATGATTGACTAAAGCTCTCGTTCAAAGATTTAATAACATTTCCTGTATAATTAGTAAGCTACAAGGATGAAAAGACTAATCTAACACTTAAACCACTTTCTTAATCAGATTTTCATACATTAATCCTCCTGTGATCAGGGAAGAAGTTAAGTTCCTCACTTGTGGAAAGTTTTTCCCTTTTTTATAAACATTATTAACCTTTTTAATATGAAAGCAGTTTAAAAACTTTGCAGTTTTACTTCCCTACTGTAGAAATAACGATTTAATACTTGAATGATAGTAGTTTTTCTTATTCAAAGTATACAGATCAGACTTAAGCTGGTGAGTAATATATATAAATATATAGAGAATGAAGACTTTAAGTGACATTTATGTTGGCGGACTTTAAAATTACCTTTTTTTTAACTCAATGGCTTTCTGGGTTCTAATTGGTATTGGCACTACTTGCTATGTCTTTGCAATGGTACAAAATATAGAAAAAGAAATAATAGAAAATTTCTACCCAGGATTTTTATATTATATATTTTTGGCATTCCTCTTAAAGATTTGAATAAGCCCTTAAATAGAATTACTTTTCAGGCAGAATATCTCACTAATCCATGCAATCTTAGATCTTTACACCTTTTTTTTAAACAGTAGTTCACTAGCAAATAAAAGTAATTGTGAGTAAGTCATTGTTTGCTGCACGTTAGAGACCTGAATTATCAAATCAACCTAATCTTATTTTATTTAGTGCTTTTTACATACAACTCATTTGCTTAACGCACCCTGAAAACACATTTATTCCTATAGATTAGACTGAATTACAGCATTTATGTTTTTAGTTGTTCATAGAGCCTAGTTTCATGTTTCTTTATGCAATAAATATGGCATGACACAGAGGTATATTTATCTTTTCCACACTCCAAAATAGGAAATACAAGTGAATGTAAATATTGAGTCCAGCAAATATTAAGTTGACCTTTTGGGTCAGGAAACAGCTCGAAGAAAATAACAACCCACGAAAAGCTGGTCTTTAAATCTACATTGAGAGCAATGATGCTTAAAAGAAATGGGGTTGGAACCGAGTTTGACTTATGGTGATGCCCTGCTAGATGTTAAAACCATCTCCGAAAGTCACTGTCAGAGAACTTTTTCACAAAGTTAAAAGTATTTTGAGGCTGTGCTTATCGTTGTTGTGTATTTTCCTATTTAAGGTCATTTTGGTGGCCGAACTGTTCCAGTACAACTAGAAGAGCATGTTTTTATCCCCTGTAAAGACAAAGTGAAAGTCACTGTGTCCTAAATCCCAAAATACTGCTGTTTAAATGCAGATCAAACACAACACAACCATGGACCATTTATAGTAAACAGATGGTGCTATTAGAAAAAGTCAGAAATATTACAAAGGAAATTTACATTTATTAGTGGCTGTGGCACATATTCAAAGAGTTTTATGTTTTGTTATGTGTTGTGAACCTAGATGTGTCCTCAGGATTTAAAACCAGCATGAGTACAGCTGCAGCTCGGTCAGGTGCCCTCATTTGTCCTGCATGAAAAACATACATCATGAAGCACATGTGCTTATTCATCGCTTCACATTTTTTTTTAGAATGTTTTATATTGACTTTTATAATGAATTTTCTGCTGTATAATTATATTAAGAAGCTGTGATACTTATAGAAATGGAATAGTAATTGGCTTTTTAGGTGAATATTTTTATTTTGATTATGTCACCGCTCTGTTTAAATTAATTTACTATAACACTTTAGGTCCATTCTATTAGCTTTAAACTCACACGGTAAGATCTTTTGATTTAGGTTATATTTCAAGCTAAGGACGTATGGTAAATGGTTTTTGGCTTGTTCTTATGCAGCACTTTTATCAAGTCTGACCACCCAAAAGCACTTCGTATTATATTCAGTGATCCACTTATTCATGCACAGATAGCTACATTGTAGCCACAGCTGTTCTCAGGTAGACTGTCAAAGGCAAAGTTGTCATATGAGCGGCGCCGGTTACTGGCTCAGAATATAGGATAAACCCTTACCTCCTGAGCCACATGACATTACTCACATTGCTAAATAAACAATGTGGTCAATGAGGCAACGCATTGACCACATTATTAGTGAAAGATACGTCCTTGAGAAGTGTTTTTGTAAGATGTTGTGGTATGCAATTTTCCTCTGATGTTTCCTTGACTTTTGATCTCAGGCCATTCGATATCTTTATATTAATTGCTATTTTTGCCAACTGTATGGCCTTAGCTGTTTATGTCCCTTTTCCGGAAGATGATTCCAACTCCACAAACCATGATCTGGTAAGTAGTCTGTACCTGTCTCTACAAACAAACTATATGTTGTTACAGATTTTTGTCTATTTATAAGAACTTCCTTTCGCTTTGAATATATGCATGCTGCTCATAAATTGCAGAGCATATCTTTTTTTTGTTACATGTTAAGAAGGAAATAAATGCTTGATCTCCAGATGTCTTTGCTATTTCAGCGTGTGGTGAAATTATTCACACCTTTTAGATTGTTTGGCCACCTATACCATTGTTTGTTTCATCTGATCTCACCTTTTCCATGCACATTTTCTAGTTCCTACATGGTCTATGCAAAATTGCAAATATGACGTCTGAAAGCTTTCTTTCAACTTTAGATTTCTTTTTGGCTCTTTGACTGTCAACAAGTTCTTTCATTAGAGCTGTACAGCTAAGGATCTCTTGGCTGATTTTCTTGTTAACACCGGGCTCACTGTGGCTACCATTTGGGTAACGGTCCCGATTCAGAGCAGGCTTGCTGCAAACAACCATTAATGCTGCAGCCATCCCGGCCACAGCGTCAGTGTGAGAGGCAATTTTCTTGGCAATCCTGTGCTGGATCAGAAATGCATTCACACCATAGTCAGTTTGAGCCTGGTTAATATGCTCTTATCCTTTCCTGTTAGTTTAGTTGGGGTGCCATGTCTTTGTAGCCTGACCAGCCAGACTAAACTCCTTAACCACTGTTTAATCACAGCACAGGGGGCAGGACTTTATGATGCGTTACTCAGCACCTTTCTGCTTTTCTGCCAGCTTAACAGCAAGATGGCCACCACAACAGAACTAAGTTTAATGATGCCCTTTCCGATGACCTAAGTGAGATTAATCTAACTTAAAAACCTAAAAAATTGACAGCTTTAGTGGCTTCTCGGCTTGACATGCATCATGGATTACACAATTACAAAAATAGAGTGCGTTGCCTACAGTTGTTGTTTTTCATTCATAGTTTCTGATTGGTTCTAACCTGATGACACTGACCCTGTTAGTCTCACCATTGAAATCAAGCTTTACCAGCTCTTTACCAGACTGAGACGCCATGCATACGAAGTATCAGTCTCGCTGGCCAGGCTAATGTCTTTGTATGATCTGAGCAGTTTTTGTTCCCATGTCTTTATGATGCTCTTTGTTCATTAATATTCTCAAATACACCTCTGATGACTTTACAGAAGAGAGATTTTTTTTTAAATGTTACATTACACCAAATTAAGCTCATCCTATGTTTGGGGACATGGCCTGATTCCAGTAATCCGTGTTCTTCCACCTCTACTGAGCTATGCTGTGTTGACATATCACAAACAAACAATACAATATATGTCAGTATATTGGTTGTAAAGCAATAGATGTAAAAATAAATACTGAAGGATGTGAATACTTTTACAAGACAATACAATCCTAAGTATTTTTTCAACTCACTGCATTCTCTAAGTGTTATTGTGTAGCTGGAGCTTAAAAACCATCAGAACTTTGCATCTATTCTTTTCTTTCAGTAGCTTTGATATGCACATTTATTCTGCCTACTCAGAGAAACACTTAGAATTGGTGCTTTATCATGTCTCAGTCCCCCATGTGGAGTCTTGTCTTATTTTTTATTTATTTATTTTGCATTCCTTTTTTTTTTTTTTAGCATTTTCTGGCCATTGCACCACTCTCTGCACCTTGTGCATTTATGTCTCTTATGATGAATTGTGGGTGATGTAGTGTTGTAAGCATTCTTCCACTGCTGAGGATAAGTGCACTTTCCAGAAGGCAGACAGACGCTCATACTGCAGTGCTTACAAGAGCAAAACTAAGCTTAGTGTTTAATGATTAATGAGAAGTGTGTATAACATGTCTTGCATACAGCTGATTGTCTCTGAACGTTAGATTTCAGGGCATTAAACCTTAAAAAAAAGATTATAGTTTTGGTGTAGATATCTGAGTGGAGGTTACACCATGTGATGTGTTGAAAAAGAGATGATCTAGTTAAAAGTGTATCTAGCGTGTGTTAGTGAAGTAAGGAGTGTAGCTTCTCACTGTGACCTCCTGGAGGGTGACATCTGGGTGTCTGTTTACACATCACTGGTTTATCAGGGAAAACTGGTTCAGCTGGGACATTGCCTGTTACACATTTATACTCAGTTTTCTGTTGAGTTTAATAGTGAAATATGCAAAATACTAACGGAGTAGGAACAATTTGTTTCAAACTACCGATACAGTTTTTAACCGATTTACATTTCTTTTTAAAGAAAAAGTAACTGCATTGTGGCTCTTACATCTTTAGGTAGAACCAACAGTGGGGATTTATCTCCATGTGTATATTTTAGATAGGATGGTCCAAATACATAAAACATTACATAAGGAAATCTTTAATATTCAGGCCATATTGTTTCCAGTCAATGGAAGTTGTCTTTGTTGTTTATTTCCGTGCAGTGCCATGTCTCTTCTCTGTATAAGTGTTATGCTATAGTTAAGGTCTACTGCAGGTGTTTTATTATCACTGACTGTTGGTGAAAATGTATGGTTAAAAACCTCAGCATATTTTCACAAAGTCACTTTTGTTGTACACATTCACCCAGTTAAGATATGACTGGTTAGTTTTTTAGTATTCATAAGCATTATTAGCTACGCACTAATTGATAAGCCATCAACCTAATCATCTGCCTTCAGTTACACTTCTCACAACTTGCCAAGATAATTGAACTGGATCTCTGATGTGTTTCTTTTCATTGAGTTATTTCAAAGAGGGAATTTTATTTTAAATAAAGGGCGTGATGTCGCACAGAAACCTGAAATTTACAGGATTTTATTTGAGAGCACTTTTCTAATGGCTGTGATAGTATTACATACTATAAATGCAATTTAAGCATATTTTAAGATTGTAATAAATTACCTTTCAATTCCCTTAAAAAAAAAAAAAGATGTGACAGAGAGACACATTTTTATAAAGAATAATTTCTTAGGCTTAAGTGGCTTTCATTTTGAAAATAGGCGGACAGGAAATGGGAATAGAGAGAGTGGGAAGACATCCAAAGGTCACCACACCGAGACCCAAACCTGTGATGTCTACGTCGAGCACTAAATCCTCCATACATGGGATCCACTCTTAATCCCTACACTACCTCTATGCCCACACCGGCTAATTTCTGTTCGCCTTTCATCAAAATGGAATAAATAGAAGAGATCATGTAATTAAACAAAGAGGTAGATCAGTGGGATCTTGAGTTACCAGGTCTCCATTGCACACTTTATGAGCGCTTTTCAACATACATTTACCAGCGGTGCCAATCATTATAAGGGCCTCTGTAGATTCATGGAATTGTGTTAATAAATCTACATTCTTATTTAATCCCAGTATTTGCAAAGCACTGCAAGTGAAAACATAGTATATCCCCTATGACTTAATCAATGGTTATACACGTCTGCTGAAGCTGTTAAGGCTCTTGTTTGATTTATTATTGTCTTTTCTCTAATGGAGCATGAATAGCTATATATTGAAGAAGAGTGATAGATTGAATGTATGAATGCATTCATTATGAATTAAATTAAGAGCTATGCACATGGCTTTGTCCGGAGCTGATGATAATGCTGCAGCATGCATGCTTCATAAACAAGTGCATAAGGAGAAAATGAAGGGACAACATGATGTGTAGGTATGGCATGATTTACGATTCCTTGTGAACAATCCATATAGGGACATAGCTTTGCTTTAGGATTGTGTAACTCATTTGTCTTATTTGCATGACACATCTTTCTCATTACTGTTATCTTTCTGTCAGAAGTTAGTTGTAGTTCTGTCATGTCAGACCCAAAACACCTTCCAGAGGATTATTGGTATTTTTTTTTTCCAGGAAAGGCAGAAGATTATCATTTGTTATTATAGGGTAGGTGTGCCAGCTTGGTTGCTGTTATTCAGCAAAACTGTAGTCTAATTAGGATGAGCTCAAGAAAGGACGTTGCTGTGTTTGTTTTGTATTGCCAGCATATAATGCTGTAGTGTAGATTATTTTACGCACTACCTTTCAACGATAAGGGGATTGAAGATTGATATAAAGCCTAAATTATGAATATATATGGCTTTAGTGTGAAATGCAGGGCTCAGATTATATTACTCTGCCACTACAGCATGCAGTTAAGTTTCACCAAGTCACACATTAAAATGCCATGAAGATTTAACTGCAGAAAAATGCTGCACTGAGCTGATGTCTCGAGGTCGGGTTGTGTGGACTTTTTATTTAGTGCATTTTTCATTGATGGACCTTTTGTACACTGTGTGCAAATTGCAGAGGTGCTGCAGAGCTGCTTCAGTGCTGGATAGTCATGAAGGCTTTAAGAGCTAGAGTCTGCCCTTCTTGTTAGCGAGGCTTGGTTAAATGCAGCAACTCATTATAAATAGAAAGCAATTTCCTCCCCAGGCAGAACAGGGGGCAAAGAATTGGGTTCTTACTACCACCAGGAGGCACAAGTGAGTAACTAGATGCATAAAGTGCATGAAATCACATGTACATGTGCAATGAGACAAAAAAAAAAAAAAAAAAAAAACTGCCAGAAAGTCATATTTCCTATCTAGTCAAGGTCAGCTTGTTCTGCTTTTTGCCTTTTTCTTTGTTTAGGCTTTTCATTGGATAATAACAAGCTATATTCTGTGCAACTGTCTCCTCTAAGATTTCTAAAGGGACAGGAGGATAATCTGTAACACTGCTGGCTTTGCTTTAAGGTCATTTCTGTCTTATCTGTTTGAAAATCAAACACTGCAGGCGGGAGTGTCCTGCTGAAGGTAGCCGGGCAAAACAATGACCTTTTCATAGGAAATGTGATTCACACATCTTATTCTGCACATGTTAACATGCAGACAGCTCTGTCTGAAATCAGGTACTGTCTGTCTTCATTGTTGTTGTATAACTATTGTTAGGAGTGGCAAAAAATAACAATACAGATGAAAAAGAAATGCATTAACAAAGTGTTATATGACTATGTGAATATGCAGTAGAGAATACCACAGTCCATGATTGTTCAGAGTG